CTGAGCGCATGACTTTTAATAAGAGGACAATATCTACCACTACAGAGCATTGGTGCACATTCAATACTCAGACCCGCTGGGGGCAACTGAAAAGGAAGCAGAGAAACAGCCAGATGCCAGGCCTTTGCTGAGACCCAGGGATACAGGTTTCAAGTCCTTGAATATCCCAGCAAAAAGTAACCGTAGAGACAAAGACTGCAGATACCCACACACTTATACAGTATTTACCAATATTTTAAATATCCATGCAAACATCTATAAAAGTGCAGTGCTGAGGGGGTGAAAATGGGCTGGGGGCACAGCTCAGTGCTGGACGGCTTGCCTATTGTGCTGGTCTCTCATTAAATCACAGTGGCTTCTTCAGTACCAGCAGACATAGAAAACAGCGTACAGTCAGCCCTGATCAAGTCTTGTCTTTGCTCCGAAACTGCCCATGCCATGCCTCCTCCATCATCTGCATTGCTCTCCGTTACTTTCCAAGCTCCCACAATAGCTCATTACACTTTGATCACTAATGGTATTTCCAGTCCAAGGTTCCAAACACCTCCACAATCCTCCCCAAACAACATGCTCAGGCCTGCCACAGCCCATGAACCCAATACCAAACTCCAATCTAGTTTGCTTTTCTATTGTTGTAAACAACATAACCAATAGCAACTCAAGGAAGAAAGGGTTAGTTGCAACTTAACAGTTTATTGTCCGTCATGAAGGACACTTCGAGGCAGGATCCTAGAGGTACAAACTAAAGCAGAGGCCACAAAGAATGTGAATGCTACTTAGTGGGCGCTCCCCATGGTTTGCTGGGCCTGTTTTCTTACACAATCCTGAACCACCTGCCCAAGTGGCACCACTCAGTTGATTGGGCCCTCCCACACCCAATCATTCATCAAGAAAATGCCCACAGACCAATGTGATGGAGGCAATTTCTTCAAGTCCCTTTTTCCTAGATGACCCTAGTTTGTGTCAACTTGACAAAACACTGACCAGCATCCTACCATGCACAAGGTTGCAAAATGGGTAGATCTGTTCCCATTTAAAGCACTAAAAGAATACATATGGCACTGACTCAAACACTTAACGTTCTGTGCTGAGGTTGAGGGTGTAGTTCAATGCAGAACACTTGCCTGGCAGGCAGATGGACCTGGACGCTAGCCCCACCATAGATAGATAGATGGATGGACAGACAGACAGGAGCTAATCCTTCATGTTACTGATGAGGAAACTAAAGCAAGGAGGGTTTGAACTCAGATTTTCAAAGGCTGAGGAGTGGCTGGCTGTCCTCAGCCACCTTATGCCAGGCACACTCTGGGCACCTGATGGCAACATTGTGAAGAGAGGTGTGATCTGAGGGCGATCTGGTCCCTATCACATGCCAGCTCCTCCTCCCATGTTAACAGGCTGTAGCTAAGCATGTGGCCCACCTGACTGATAAGTCCATTCCCAGGCTGTCCTGGCAGGTAGTGGGGCCATGCACCTCAGTTCTTAAAAATAGAAAAGTGGGTGGTCTGAGCCCAGGTCCTTAATGCAGTGGGTACTTCCTTAACAAAGAACACACCAGTGAGGTGTGTCCTGATCTTGTTGATAAGATGGCAGAACCCCCAGTCCACTAGATCAGAGGCTAGCAATCAAAGGCCTGTGGTCCAAACAGACTCTACTTCTTCTTACTAAGAAAGGGCATTTTGGTTTTTGAGACATTTCTCTCTCTATGCCATCCATAAACTCAAGAGCTTCCTATCTCAGCCTCCTAAGCACACCATTAGCTTCAAATAAGACTTATTGGAGCTGCCACGTTCATATACTGTCCTCGACTGCTTTTCTATTAAGACAGACTGATTACAAGGTAGCTATATTTTTTTGTTTGTGTATTTAAGTCAGGATCATATGTATTGTAGGTTGGGTTATATAATAAGGATGGTCTTGTGGTGATATATTATTTATGATCTAATAAAACTTGCCTGGAGATCAGAATGCAAAGCTAGCTACAGCCACAGAAGCTGGACAGTGGTGTCACATACTTTTAGTCCCAGGATTCAGGAGACAGTGGCAGATGTATCTCTGTGAGTTCAAGACCACCCAGGGCTACATGGGAGTGACTCAGTCTAAAAGAGAAACAGAGTTCACACCTTTAATGCCAGCACTAGAGAGGTATATAAGATACAAGCAGGGCATTCAGTATCAGTACCATGACAAGTAGTCCTCCAGCCACATTGAGGACAAGATTCCCCTTCCAGCCTTGGTAGAGTAAAAGCTCTCTGCTGGCTTGGCTGCTTTGCTTTTCAGATCTTCAGCTTAGACCCCAATATCAGTCTCTGGCTTTATATTATTTGTACTACATGGTCTTGAATTCCTGATCTTCTCTGTTTTCCAAGTGCTGAGATTATAGGCATATGCCACCATAACTGGCCATGATAGTTAATTTTTTTCTCTCAAGAGTTATGTTTTATGAATGTTTTTCTTACATGTTTGTGTACTACATACATTCCTGGTGTCCAAAGAGGCCAAAAAAGGCATCAGATCCCTTGGAACTGGAGATAGAGATTATGAGCTGCCTGCCATGTAGATAGTGGGGAGCAACCCTGGTCCTCTGCAAGAACAGCCAGTGCTCTTAACCATTGAGCCATCTCTCCAGCCCAACATCTGATTAGCAATCCTAAAGTGGGTTGTGTTTCCACAAAGCTGTGGTCAACATTTTCATCAACTAAGCCACACACAATGCTCTCTGATGCATGTTTTGTTAAAAAGATCTTATTTAATAAACAGATGATGATTCATCTGCATTGAACTAACTGGCCAAAGCATTGTGTAGTGCTGGGTTCCATGCCTGAAAGGTGGTTAATCTAACAAACCGACTGTCCTTATAAGGCATATCACAGCCCTGGAACACTAGACAACACTTTAGTGCTGTGCTTAGGGATTCCTTGAAGTAGCAAAATCACCAATAAAGAGCACAAAAATGCAAAAATCATGGCACTAGAAAGCCCATAAAAAGGACATTTGTTATGGCATGACAGCTCAAATAGGGCAGAGCCACACTTACTCAGCCTCAGCAGGAAATGCGCTCAGGTGACTCCAATGCGCTGCTGCTCTCTTTTGCAAACATGCTGGCACTGGCTAGAGGGCAAATTTGCCACAGCCAGGAGGCAAATTTGGAGTCTGTGAATGTCTGAGGAGAGCTGCAACAGAGGCATCCTACTCACAAAGTCTAAACCGGTAGTGTTCGACCTGTTGACCTCTTTTCCAGCTTGTTTAGCTAAGGACAGACAACGCTTTCATCAAAGCCTCTGAGTTTCAGGGTTTCTGTTACAGCAGCTTGCAGTGCTCTGATAGAGGTTATCACGTCTCTGCCCCAGTGCTGCATGCTGCCAGCTTATTTCACCAGGCAAGCTTTAGTCTTTCAGGACATTCACATTTCCAACAATGTCTTTCCCCCTCCTAAGCAGGCCAATACCCGATCACCTGCTCTTGCTAAAATTCTTTTCCAGGGGAGACAGAAGCAATGCCTACCCCTCCTCCTCAGGTCCCAATGGCAAACTGAGGTACAGGTCTGACAAAACTCTACTGAGTTTATGGGGCTTCCTTGGAAAATAAGTGAAGGGTTACTTACCAGGGTGGGGGTGCTCCTCCCCAACAGCCCACACTTGGAAGACCTTTCTTTACCCAACAGGGATGAGGGCTTCCCCATAGTCGCAGAGATGGATCCTCTCAGCTAGCCTAAAGACCTTAGCCCCATCCTGAGTCCAGGTGCACTACAACAGGCCCTGCGTTGCACACAACAGGTGGTATAGGATCACGCTGGACACTCAGGTGAGGATCTTATGACTCTCCTCAATCCTCCACGAGGTGAATGAGCAGTCAACAAGCACATGAGGATGACCCTTTTGCAAGCAGACCCAGCTGAACCTCCCTGGATGTTGCTTGGCTCCAAGGACAGCCATACACAACACCTGCATTAGCATGAATATAGATGGCTTGTTTTAAACATACACTCAGGGCCTACTGAGTTACCTGGCAAGAAATGGTTGTGTCTAGGAGGAGTCATTGAGAATCACCCAGTAGGTAGTAGGAAGCCCCTGGGAGACTTCTGACATTGATACATAATGCTGTCATCTACAAACATGTTGGGTCACACTGCTAGATGTACTGAGACACCTGTGGCTTAATATGCCTGCTATGGTAACCAAAAGGAAATGAGTCACCACTTCCGGGAAGCCCACCTGAGCATCATTCTCTGCTCACCTTCACCATTTCAAGCTGGCTTCCACTTTTTCTTTCCCCTTTTGGGGCACGGCCTTGCCCTGTATCCCAGGCTGGCTTTGAACTCAGTCTTACTACCTTGGCTCTCTGAGTCCTGGGATTATAAACGCACACTACCACCCACTACTTATAACCTCGGTTTCCCTCATCTATACAAACACGACAGGCACGCACTGAGAATGCAAGCGAAAGTACTCAATCAACACACATCAGTTATCTTTCTCTCCGTATTTTAAAGGCCTTCCCTAACACCAGTTCTAGAATCCTTTCCAGATTCCCAAAGATGCTCAAAGTTAATTTCCAAGCCACAAGCTCTGGTACCCCACAGGAAAAAACTCCCCATCTCTGGAGACGCCTGAGCCGCTAGCAATATCCTGGATGACAGACACATCCCTGGGTTCTGGCTTCATGACAGTCACCGCAACTACAGGTCCCTAACAGCTACAGAACCCACTCGTCCCTTAAGGCGACTTCTAAGTGACAAGTCTTCCCGCAGCTTCCGAGTCCCTCCCCTTAGAACGGCCTTTATGTCTTGTCTTCTCCAGGGTTCCCCTTCCATATCTCTTCTTCGGGGATCTCCTGGACTCTCTCTAATCACTCAGTGCCTTCCTCGTCCTGATCCCTCTCCTCGGGGCCTCTTCCCTGGCCCTTTTCCCTGCTCGCCCTCGCAGCCGCCGGGCCGACCCACGCCCCTGCGGCGGAGCACGGCGACCAGCCACGTGGCCCAAAACCGACTTCTCCCCTACCTCCTGAGCGACGCCGAGATTCTCCCGCTTCTTTTTAGTCATCTTGTTCGTCGTGTCCCCCGCACTGGAACCCGCCCATCAAGTCGCACCACGCACGCGCAAGTCCTCGTGCTCCTCTCGCATTGGCCGGCGCGGCAGGAGGAGGCGGGGCTACTGCACTCACCATCTTGTTGAGGGGCGCGTCCATCTTGCCGCCGCCATGTTTGTGAGGGGCGGGCTCTTAGCTGGAGGTCTCGGGATAAGATCTGGAGAGAAGCTGCGACTGGTGCACCCGAGAGTGGAGACCGCGTTACATATTGAGAACTTTTTTCTTTTTCCTCCCTCCCTCCCTCCCTTCCTTCCTTCCCCTTTCTGTTCTTTACTTTTTTAATTTAATTTAATTTCTTACATCTTCCTTCTTGCATCCATCAGTAACATACCTGCACAGTTTTAGGCTAATCTCATTCAAATTCCTGTAAGGCTTTGCTTGCAAGCCCTGCTCCTTCAGTCCTAATTTGAGCCGTTCTGCCCATTGCAATCTAATTATGGCCTTATACTGCTAATCCTCATGGTCTTGTATTCTTAGACATTGCTCTTGTTTTGTGTCGAGACAGAAACAGCCTGCAAATATCACAGAAAACATGTAGAAGGCAAACAGCGTGCAATGTTCACTTTTACTAGCTCCTACCTTTTTCTGCATATTTCTTTACGGGCTCGGTCATGCTTAGTATTTTAAAGTGTTTAGACCCGTGGCCTTTGAGATGTTTTAACTATAACCCACAGAACTGCAATCGAAGTTTTACAATTCAGTATGTTTAGCATCTGTAAAGTGATGTGTGTGTGTGTGTGTGTGTGTGTGTGTGTTTAACTGTCTATTTGGAGGGGGGAAAGACAGGCAATAGTCGAGCATGGTGGGACATACCTATATTCTCAGCTACTTAGGAGAATGAAGTGGGAGCACTATTTAGAGCCTGCAAATTTGGAATCAGCCTGGACAACAGTGAAACCTCAACAATGAAAGGGGGGAAGGACTAGCAAGTAGATGGATGTGTTTTAAAGAGTGGGGTGTGGTTCAAAAAACTACCTTAGGTCTTTTTTCCATGTCTTTGAGATCATGACTATTGATGCCAGCAGGTAATACATCCCATTCTTGTGATGGACATTATTTCATAGGACAGAACCTCTCCATGCATAGGGAACAAAGCAAGCATCTCTGCACACGCAGCTCTGTCGTTCTGTGTTCCTTCCTAAAGATAAATTTGCCCAAGTGGAATTACTAGGTCAAAGATGATGAGACCAGAATCGAAGCTCTGTGTTTCGTAGTTATCTCTGCACCAGATCCTTTTTCTCTGTGTGAATAATAACCCCATCTCTGTGTTTGGAGGAAAAACGTTTTCAGATCTGTGTTTTCTTCTTGATAAAGTCCTTGAGTGATGGGGCTGGAAGGGACCCGAGATTCCATCTCACTTGGCCACCTCACTGTGACCCACGGAGAGAACATGTAGTAAATCCTACCTGGGCAGGGCACAGGCTGTTGAAGTTGTTTAGCGCACTTCTCAGCTTACCACCTGGTGCGGGGAAATCTTACTGAGAACATTGTCTATCAGCTGTCAATCAGCAACACTTATCTTCCAGCACTGGTCCAAGTCCCAGAAAAGCCAGACTCTGCCTCCCAATTATCACAGGCACTGGCTCAGGAGAGGTGAGAAGGGAGGGAAAACACTGTGTTCCTTTAGAAGCGGCTCCTTCTGTGTTTCTCTGGCACCAAGAAAAAGCCACAGAGCTCTGGGTGTGCCTCATGCCAGTCTCATCTTCTCCCAGTCCCCTGCAAAGACAGAAAAGCTCTCAACTCTTTCCCTGAGCAGCCTCATGTTCTTTCAGTGAAGCCTCATCTCCTGGGTCAGGTGACAGGATAAAATATTCAAGATGAGGGGCTGGAAAGAGGGTATCCCAAGAGCATTTTAGCTCTTACACACGACCTGGGTTGCATTCCCGGCATCTATAAGGTGGCTAATAAAGTCTGTAACAGCAGTTTCAGAGGATTTGACCCCCCTTCTGGTCATTTCAGGTACTACATATACATGGTTCACAGATAAACCATACAGGCAAAACACCCAAGCACACAAATAGAAGTAAATCAATGCCACCTGGTCTATAGACTGAGTTCTAGGATAGCCAGGGCCACACAGAGAAATCCTGTCTTAAAGGGGGAAAAACAACCCTCAAAATGGGCTGAAACCAAAGTGAAGCTGTCCTGGATTCCAATCTCACCTTTTGTCATTTAGCAGCTGTACAAAGTAGCAAAGTATTTCAGTTTTCATATCTGCTAAGTGAGTACCTTGTTCCAGGTAGGGGAAGGACCTTATAGGAACAGCTAAGACTTAGCAGCTGCAGAGTAAGTAACCAGGAGAGACGTCAGGACTTAGGACTCACCAGCCTGTGAGGAGGTTTTGTGCACCAGCAGCTGCCATGTGTTTTAAGCCTGGTCTCTGCCAGGCTTCATGTTAGTATAAAGCATTTGTTGTTTGGAGTTAGAGGCAAATACTTGGGGTGTGGAGTTCACTGCAGACAGCAGTTCCAGCATGCACAGATGCTCTCCACAGAGGAATCTGCCCTCTTCTGTCACCACTTGTCAATCACAGTTTGATGTGTCCGGACAGTACAGAATGTGCTGATCCTTGTGAGGGGAGGCTGAAGACACCCCAGTAATCCACTCAGGTCTTTAGTCACCCCACACACCCCACCCTGGCAAGAACAGAGACCTGGCATTGATTCCCACAAGAGCTGTTCACTGAGCTCTTCTACAGCCTGGCCTGGCTATCCTGCCCAGAGCCAGATGGAGTCCTGGGGGATGGTGGTCTGCGTGTGTCTCTTCTTTGTTCCCTAGTGAGCTATGGGACCCAACTGTCTTTTTGATAGTTCTGGGGTAGCTAAGGCAAATAGAGTGTGTACATTGGCAGTTGAGAGAACTGGTTCACTTCTGGAAGGTTCTCATGGCACAACCATGGCCCGGGTCAGCTACAAAATAGATAGAGCAGAGAGAACCTTCCAACTTAGATGCCCCACCATTTGTTGTTTGAAGGGTGCCCAGACATAAGACACTGTGGACAGCTCTAAGGTAGACATATGCTGTAAGATGAACTCATTACCCTCAAGATATCTTTAACCTAGTTAGAAAGACAGACTGACAAAATGAAATAGCGAATTCCAGAGGCCTGGTGCATACTGCTGCTGTGTCAGGGGCTCTGGCAGAAGACAATGCTGGGGGCATCTGGGGCGGCTGGCTCGGCAGAGAGGGCATAGATGAGATGGTGGGGCAGTGATGAGGGGCACCCTGGTTGGCAGGGAATGCCAGGAGGAGCCCTCTCTAACTTTGGGTAACGGTACTTCAGAGGCTGGCCCCAGCCCAAGTTCCAGATGGTCCGTTCTGCCCTTCTCCACTTCCTGGACTCGCCTGAGCTGTGAGACCCAGGCTCTCATCCTCTGCGGTGCCCCCGGGGAGCCTTTTTCAGAGCAGGGGTGAGGGAGAACAGCATCGCTCACTGTCGAGAGCACTTCAGGCAGGAAATGAAGAGTTTCGAAGGTGGTTTAAAAATACAGTGGGAGCTGATTTATGTTTGAATTTTGTTCCAGGGCAGCAGATCACAGCCCGAGTTTTGAGGCAAAGGCAGCGGTGTCTTTATGGTCTGCTTGGATGGGTTTCACGACTTCGTGCTTTTTATGTTTCAGCTAAGCCAAGATGCTAGAACTTTTTTTTTTTTTTTTTTTTTTGTCCACACTGTACTTCGCTGAGGGAATTTCATATATACGGCTTAGATCCAGCTGCACTTTGATTCCATTAAAAAAAAAAAAAAAAGATTATTTTTTGGTCATTTCTTACTTGGTGTCCAGTTTCTAGTCAACTTAAATAATAATAATCAGGGGCAATAGTGAAAATAAAGGAATGGGGGATTGTTGAAGGCACAGAAATCCAGATGATTTGGTCCCACGGTATCCTTTCCTGAAGTTTTCCAAGACAGTCTCATGTAGCACAGGATGGCCTCTGGTTTTCTAGGCAGCTGGAGATGCCCTTGAAACCCTGATCCTCCCACCTCCACCTCCCAAGTGGCGTGCACTACCAAGCCTGATTTTATGCTTCAAACCCAGGGTTTCATGCATGCAAGGCAAACACTTTAGCTACTGAGCTACCTGCCCCCGCCCCAGTCCCTCACTGGCCTCTTCTGCAAATATGGCTGCGTACCCTGTGTGTATCTGGTGCCCTTGGAGGCCAGAAGAGGCATCGGATCCCTTGGAACTGGAGTTCCAAATGGTTGTGAGCTGCAGTGTGGGTACTGGGGACTGAACCTGGGTCTCCTGAAAGAGCAGCCAGTGCTCTTAATGGCTGATCCATCTCTTTAGCCCTACAGTATCTATTTTTAGCCCACAGTATGATGAACATTTTCACTAAGATGCCCAGAATCCTCTTTGGGAAACACAAAGGAATGTGAAGAAATCAATAAATACATCTTGTGTTTCTAAATATGACACCCTGTTCTTCCTAGAGCAGTTTCTGTGTCCATTAGTTCTGTGGGTAAGGACTGTAGAGCTGGCTTAGTCACCCCCATTTTGCAGAAAAAGGAAAGGGGACTTCTGTAAGTAATGTGGCCCGCAGAGAAAGGCAGACCCATTCCTCCTGCATAGGGGACCAGACGGAACCTTCTAAAGATGAAACAACTGATCAGGAGACTTTGAAAACATCTTTTTAAAATGTATTTGGTGTGTGTTCATATATGTGTGTGGGCATGCATGTGGAGGTCAGAAGATAACTTGAAGGAGTCAAATGTTTCTTTTCACCATGTGGGTCCTAGAGCTAGAACCCAGGTTATCACACTTGGTGTCAAGGAGCTTTTACCCACTGAGCCATCTCTCTCAGGCGGCAAACTTAGTGAATGTGGAGGTTGGGGGACGGCAGTAGTAACTTTGGTGCTGTCTGTAGGAAAGTACACAAGCTGGGATGATCTTAGAGACTCCTGAGTCTCAGAACACAGCACCCCACTATCCCACAGGTGGTATTTGACCAGTCTGTCGATCATAGAGCCACAGTTTCTTAGTCAGAGGGAGATCGTATAAACTT